TTAACTTAATTTGATGATATTAAACACAGTGCGACTCTACCCAGCTTAAGTGGCACAAAGAACATCAGTCTATAACAGTAGGAGGGAAAATTCAAGGCGTATTTCTCTCTAAAGCACACGGTTGTCTCATCTCCTGACGTTTATCGTGCTTACAGCTCACTCAGTTTTACTCTCTGTCTTTCAAAATGATTCCTGGTGTAATATCTACAGTTTGGTATATATCTATAAATTGTTAAAAAGCCAAACAAGAGTCAGCAAGAGTACTGATATTTAACATAACATACATTTAACACTTGCTAATAACATTTTATGAATACTACCACTACCTTTACTACTACTACTGATTATATGGTATTTAAAAAACACGTCACAATACCTGTTTTAATTTAGTTTTAGTAGAGGTAGTAAGGTTTAAACACCTGAGGTTAACGATCCAACACAACAGCCAATGCAGGTGACGAACAGCGTGCAGGCAGGGTGGAGCGGGTGGAGACGTGTGTCAGGGGTGATTTGTGACAGAAGGATAGAGGGAACGGGAAGGTTTACAGACCTGCTACGGTGTAAGGTTTGGGGATGGTAGCACTGACTAAAAGACAGGAGGCTAAGCTAGACGTGGCAGAATTAAAGATATCAGGATTTTCACTGAGATTGACCAGGATGGACGGGATTAGAAATGAGTACATCAGAGGGAGAGAGGATGTTGGAGGTGGAGTTGCCAGACAGGAGGAATAGGAGGATCTCAGAGGAGATTCGTGGATGCAGTGAAGGAGGACATGAAGTGATTTGGTTTGAGAGGAGATTGCTAGGGATAGCATAGCAGATCCACTGGGATGAAGAATAAAAGGAGCAGCTGAAAGAAGAAGGAGGAAAAAATAAGACCGTGGCAGAATCAAAACAGTATTAGTGGCCTAATTTTCAGTCAGGTTATTATAACTACTCCAGTTCTATAACAGATTTATTCAATGAAAATTTTCACTGATCGTTTTTAAAACAGGTTTCCAGCCCTGAGGTCACTGAGATGTTTTCCTGCTGAGCGCTCTGTCTGACATTACCTCAGTACGGTCACAAGGATTTGTGTTTATATGTTTACATGTGCGTGAGTGTGTGCGCGTGTATCTTGGCTGAATGGGTGTGTACTGAGATCTGTTGGTCTGGAGTAGATTCAGGTGAACATATTGGATGACGACGTGTGAGGCTGAGCCGAAGCCGCAGCAGAGTGGAGCACAAACAAGTGTCTCACGTGAATCAGAGCAGGTCATATCAGGTCAAAATAACAACGAGTTCTTTCAAAGTCGGGAGTAACACAAAGGAAATGTTAAAAATAGACTTACAAAGATAACAGCGTCACGTCATCAACACGAAGATGACTGAATCTGAATCGCTTCACCTCGATGTTATCGGTGGTTGATATGTCTGCTGCTTATTTCGATTATATTGACTTATTAGGTAAAAATGTCATCCAGATTTAAGGATGTCATCTTATCAAACCGTGGATATTTACTAAGTGTGTAACAGTTACACACTTAGTAAATATCCACAACTAAAACAAATCTCTTACAAAAAGCAAGTGGTAGGTGTGAATCACACATTTTTTTCCCCACACAACAACAGCACTCGCCTCTCCTGAAGTGCACTTGCAGTCTTATTGTGCGCCGTCTGTCACACCTCTCCAGGTGGAACAGCATCGTGGAGCTGGTCGAGCAGAAGAAAGATCAACTGGACTCGATGTTACGTCTGCAGAACTACCTGCTGGAGTGCGCCGAGATCAAGTCCCAGATCCAGGACAAAAGAAAAGCCATTGACGCCACCCAGTATGTGGGCAGTGATTTGGGCGGGGTCCTCGCCCTGCAGAGACGCCTCTCTACTATGGAGGGAGCCCTGTCTGTTCTGGAGCCCAAACTACTGCACTTACAGGTTTGGACATTTACACAAAAAAACATTTATATGACGTTTTTCAGCTGTAGAATTGAAATCTATCCCTTTTACACTTAACTGGAGAGTCTAAATGGACAAGTAGAGATGATTTTTTGTATTTCAGGGATTTAATTTTCTCATTTTTTTAGTGGCTAAGTGAGTTTAAGAAGCCAAACAACAGGTATAAAAGTATATATATGATTTTAAGTACTCTGAGGTATCAGTAGGCTAGAAGCACCATATAATTGCGTTTCTCTTTGGTGATGCAGGAAGAGGCAGAGCATCTGGCCACTGCTCACCCGGTTCGGGCAATGGAGGTTCTTGTGCAGTTTGATGGCATCAGTGTGGAGTGGGAGGAGCTCAAACGGACCCTGCAGGGATGTGAGGACTCACTGATGGTGGCTAGCAGGCTGCAGAGCTTCATACAGGTACAAATAAGGAAGAAGTGTTTAACTCTGAACACCACTTGCTACTGAAATTCATCAGCGAGCAAAAAGTGAGGTTCAATCCTCACTATGACCTTGACCTTTATTCAAAGTTGCGATAAATGTGAACAAGAAATCTTAAAGAACAAAACTAGACACCAGGAGCAATTCCAAGGAACAGGAACAGTAGCAGGAGGGTAGACTGTCAAAGACCAAGGCAGTGGTAAGACTTCATGTACATATATTTCTTATTCTTTCAGCTGCCCCTTTAGGGTTCGTCACAGCAAATGATCTGCCTCCATCTCATCCTATCTCTAGCATCCTCTTCTGTCACACCAATCCTCCCTTTTTCTCCTGGCACCTCCATCTTCAACATCCTACAGAGATATAAATTCTAGAGCCTGTCTTTCAGTTGCTGACTCTTTAATCAAATCTGAAATTATGTTTATGAACGATTAAACCCCAAACATGTTTATAAACTCTTAGATAAATAATTTCTACATAAAAACTGAGGGCGTTGTTGCAGGGCTCAATAAAGAAGCCAACTTGAAAAGTTTCAAAGAGAATAGAAGTTAAATAGGGCCAAAGGACCTCAAGCTAAATTATCAGCCAACCTGTCATTATTAAGGAATAACTGACTCCATTTTC